CGGGCAGCCATTTTCTCTGTACAGCCTTTGAATGTATTAAAATTCGGCAACCTTACCTTCCGGTTCACTGCAGGGCATTGACATTTCCACCCCATACTCGGTGCTGCGACTAAGTCTGGCCAAAGTAATTAGCCACCCGGGGGGAGGGAGAGGGGTGGGGCGTGTGCGCAGGTAGGTGAGCCGGTGGCCGAGCTATCATCACGCCAACAACCAACACAGGCGACGAATTTTCGGCCATGAACATCTTGATTGCCGGTAATCAAGCAATGAACGCTCCAGCGGTCTACCATCATCGATGAAGTGGAGAGCAGTTAATTAGCATGGGTATGCAGTAGCAGAGCGACTGCATCCTATAAATACAGCAACTTTATGTGCAGGAATCCCCCGTTTTTGTCACTGTCTCTGAGGATGGGTTGGAGAGTGAAGCCGAAACGTCCGGCGAATAAAGTATTTGCTGCAGCGATCCCTTCTATTTCTTGTCAAAGATTTCGTGCAACTCGCGTATTTGCTTGCGTTGGAATAGTTTCGAAGACAAACTGCTGGTATCTCAAGTTCCGGACGGTAGATGAACGTGAGATAGTTGAAAGAATTAATAAACTTGCACAGTGAGAGATGAACGGTCGTTTAATGCTTGTTAGGGGGTTCACTGCGTGACTAGCCCGTTGTGCACTGAGAGGGAGAGTCTTGTAATTCAGCTAGAAAACCCTGTAAAATACGAATGAAATTTACAATGCGGACTGGCTCTAACTCCTGGAAAAAAAACAGTTGGACAAGAAGAGTGCTGACCCCAGATGAAACTAACCCTTCCACCGGGCCAAATCCTTGGGTTTCCGACAAGAGCTTCGCTGGTGCTCTAAAACCTCAGTCATTAACAGCGATATGTTTCAGAAATTAAACATAAAGGGACTTCTTCAGCACAAACATTCTTACCAGCTCGAATGTTTACGCATGTGAATTTGGACTGAACTTTCGCAGTAGCAGGTGAATGTCGCATAATATGCATGTTTCGTCTTCAGTAGATTTCGAAGCACCTGCGCCCTTCCCCGCCTCCGGTGTTCTTGACTCTGTCTTGACACCGGGTCCTGGTGGGGGAGGTGGAGGAGAGAGTGCGGTAGATGCTGTGCAAGTCTACATTTACTATAAACTACATCACGCACAAGTCACCGTCCCTGTCCTCACATTGCTGTGGAGCACACGGTGGACATCGTTCAAAACGATCGTTGAATTGTAGCATGTTTCTGTACATGGGGGTTTTTAGGATAAAGTAACGGTGCAATTTCTCCGTTAGGGCGTATAAGCTGACTGCATAAGGTAACCACCGGTCTGTACGCCAATTTTATTTGGTGTTTTCTCGGATGTCTTTCAAAACGTTAAGAGACTTTTAATGAAAGGAAAAGTTCAATAAGTACAGTGAGTGATCGATCTCACGCACAAGTCACCGTCCCTGCTTCACCATGCCGAGCATTAGACATCGTCGGTAGCGACGTTTGGTCTGTCAAGTTTCGAACGCGGATTTATTTACCGTACTCCAATTGCGGTTACTAGCTAAAAACTCAGTCGCATGATTCGCAAAGTTTACGTTGCTATGCTAATCACCTGCGGTTGTTTCGCCCTACGTCAGATTCGCCAGCGTTGTCTATGCGCTTTCTGTTACATATTTCATTTCTCGTCGTAAATTCTATTCTGGTTTTCTTCCATTTTTACGAGTTTTCACGGATATTTAACCCATCCTTACGTGCTATAAGCTTTATTCGAGAACTGGAACAAACCTTATCTCAGTTTTTCTCATTATTGCAATTAAGACAAATACCCTATGTTGATGCATGTATGGGATTGGTCAATGAAAAAACTCCCAAGGAGAAGTCAGTCGCACATCGAAATGCCGAAAGTAATTACACAAAAGTAAGTCCACCAAATTGGCAATCTTACACGAGCAGAGAAGAACAATCAACTAGGTCACCTAATTAACAACCAAAAATCCGTTCAGTGTATTTTTCGACTGCGGCCCTCTCCTAATCCTGATTCCTCTGATATTTTTACTAACGAAGTATCCTCTTTCAGGTACCTCGGCGTTACTTTGTCCTCAAATCTTTTATTTACCCTCTATATTGAGTCCCTATTTATTAAAGTTCGTAAACTGCTTTACGACATACGTCGTTTACGTTCCTACCACACACCTCAACCCTTAGTCTGGCGATTCATTGATGTCTGCATTCTTACTTTTATCCTATACTGCTCTCCTGTCATTTTTCCTGTTTTACTAAAAAAGGATATTTTAATTTTGAAATGAGTCCTCCGCATGCTCTCTTCTGCTGCTGGTATTTCTTATCTTTTTTCGGTTGACACTATCTTACAACGACACTTCAATGCGGTCAAGCAATTTGCTGGTAGAATTCTAGATGACGTTGCCCATCCCTTACATTCTGATCTTATGTCTGCGAAGTCTTCCCGCCCGATGCGCCGCAGCTTCCGACTTATATCCTCTCGCACATCGGCTTATCGAGCTTCTGTATTGCCTTCCTAGCGCGCTATCTTACTTGCGAAGAGACAGAAATACAGAAGCTAAGACTTGAACTATCCCCATAATAATCGTTTCTTTGACTCTTGAATAATCTCTTAACACAGTGAATGGAGCCAATTTTTGCTGAAAATTTTGAACTTACGATTTCAAAATAAAGCGAATTCCTCTCTCTCTCTCTTGGTCGGGCAGTCCAACTATACGAAGCAGTCCACGAATAACTTGCTAGATCAGTATTGTAGAGACATTTTCGAGCTCTTGTTGGATGTTGGAAAATCCATCGGCCTTCCTTTGATCTGCTCGTATGTTCTAACATTGAAAGTGAAAAACTTTCATTGGCAGAAAGCACGGAATAGCAATAAGTGGTTGTTTTTAGAGGTCCTCTCGTTTCATCGTAGTTTTAGCTAGATCGCAGTTGGTAGCCAGGCTCCGTGTTACAGGTGGCTGCGGGGGGGGTTGTTAACTGGGGATATTTTGTGGGGCTCCATAAGCACATGCGGCCTATTTGGCTTCCGTTTTACGGTTGAGGTTAGGATACGGGTACCGGTTAATAGTTTCCGATTTTCGGGTTAGGGTTATGCATTTAAGCTTATGTTTTCGGGTTACGGTTAGGGTTTGAGCGTACGAATAGATTTCAGTATTGTGGTTAGGTTTTACAGTTACGGCTATGTCTAAGCGCTACCGTTACGTTTACGATTTCGGTTAGAGTTAGGGTTAGAGCTGCTGTTAGGGTTAACGGTTAACGTTTAAGGTTAAGGTTAGAGTTAGGGTTAAGGTAAGGATTAGGGTTAGGTCGCCGTCCGCTTCTCATTCCCGGCTACCAACCGCGATCTAACCATTTACAAATTTTTAGTGAAAGTGGCTGAAAGGTCACCTGAGTTGCGGAAACGTTTTTTATGTGTGCGCGAATAGTGAATATCACCACATCGACGCTATTCTGATCGAAAGTTAGGCGACATAGAAAGGACAGAGCGTGATTGTTTGGTTTACTTCTGAGGAACTTGTATTTTTGATCACTGCAAATCAGGGGACTTTAGACTACTGTTCAGGACACTCGATGTGCGCATCAGAAATGCGGTGTCCCAGCCAGGGAGCAGCGCGATGCACATCTATTGAGTGACCGATCTCATGAAATGTTGGCTGAAATTCTGAAATACGTTTTCGATTAGGAAGGAATACTTGGTCGCAGTTCTAATACTGATCATCTTAAGACATACTCTTATTACATTTCGGACTCGGCAGGATGTCGGCTTTTAAATGCACTTCTTTTCAATCTCCTGTAGAAAGCGTGCTCGGTTGAAAAATGACTACTTTTGTAGCATGCATTTTTCCCATTGATTTTCGATGGTCTTGGAAATTCAAATATATTTTACAGAAACCATAAACAATAATATGCCTTCTTTTAGTCAATCAATAGAAAATCACGTCTTCATAATATATTTTATACTTAAGGAAGGAGTATAATTATGCTTTAAAAGAGTTTTCTAAGTGCCGAATAATTTGGAGCCTGATCATTTGTTGCATTAGCGCTTAGTGATTTCACTCTACAAGGTTCATGAGTTCCGCGTAAAGAAAATCACATAGTTTTCTATGCCATTAAAGAGATATCATACAGAGTCCATAAAATTTTGTAATGGATGCGGACCATGTTGTACATTTCATGAGGAGCTGTGGTAAACGGCCAGGTACGATGCTATGTGAATGGACATTTCGCGGTCTTAAAAAGTCTCATAATTAGAAGCTTTTTAGAACCTAATTATACTCCTTCCTTAAGTATAAAATATAAATAAGACGTGATTCTCTATTGATTGCCTAAAAGAAAGAATATTTTGTTCATGGTTTCTATAAAATATATTTGAACTTCCATGACCATCGAAAATCAATGGGAAAAATGCATGTTACAAAAGTAGTCATTTTGTACCGACAACGCATTCTACAGAAGACTGAAAAGAAGTGCATTTAAAAGCCGACATCCTGCCGAGTCCGAAATGTTATAAGAGTATGCCACAAGATAAGCAGTATTACAACCGCGACCAAGTAATCTTTCCTAATCGAAAACGCATTTCAGAATTTCAGCCAACATTTCATGAGATAGGTCACTCACTGTAGGATGCAATCAAACCCACTTTTGATTCATTGTGCTGCATTCCTCGACAGTTGAGCAGACCCTGGACAGATAAGGCACGTACCATGGGTGAACAGCACGGATTGTGTGGGTATCGTATAACTGACCTTCTTCCCAGGTCGAAATAATTAATTTGTTTATCTTACAGTCCTGAAAGTGCATAGGTACCATGGTCTGCAAACCTGATTTGCATTGAGTCTCTGTTGTGTGTGGTGTCAGAAAGAACGCATTTTGATTGGATGACACGCGTAATCTTTCGCTTACTTCAATAAATAGCGTTCCTTGTCGGCTAGACGAATTGAATCAAGTGTGCTATTCACCCAAGGGGAACTGCTGCAAAGAGACCGCGGTACGAACATGGATATGCGCCGGGAAAAACGAAAAGAACACGAATTTCAGATGGGTAAGTATAACAGCCTAAACCAGCTTCGCATACCACTTTTGTGTTAATTCTTCCTTCAGTAGTTCAAATCCAGTTCCAATGGTCTGGTTTATATTTGAAAATGTGCTTAATTGTTTTCGTGAACAAGAAGTTTATTGGCCTGACGTTTCGGCCCCCAACGGTGCACATGTGCCCCCACGGCAGCTACGTACTATAAATACTGCTATCTTTGTGCCTCCACTAACTTTATCTGCAAGCGTTTCTGATGGTAGGTTCGAATGAGAGTCCGAAATGTCAGGCCAATAAACTTCTTGTTCTAGTGATCGCATCCTCTTCTTCTTCTGCTGAACTGCTTCCTGGAACTCGCCTGTTAGCCTCTATCGACAGTTGCTACGGCTTGTTCTAGATTTTAGAATTGGCCTGCTATCTGGTGATAAACTTCGTGGTTGAAGTTCCGAGATAATATAAAGACCAATTATAACAATGAATCTGGCTGTTCAAGCCACCGTCCTTTGCTCTAACGGGAGGTCATGGAAATATGAACGACCGTATTGTAGATGGCCTTGAGTAAGTGGGGTTAGATTTTAAGTTGGGATACTAAAATCGGTACTAGAATGGGAGTGCTTACTACCTTGTCCTACCTATCAAACTTGTGAAGCCTATCTGGTGTTTCTGGTCTGGGCAGTCGACTCCGAGGAAGTAACCTCATTTAAACCTTCAGAGGATTGGCTTCTGTTTTGAATGCGCTTTTCCTATGTTTTTTTTAAACCGTCCAGCTGTGTGATAAGGAAAGTCGAAATAAAAGGTCAGTTCTTTGCCTTGGGAAAAGGACTTTTATTCTTGCATCTCTGTTGCTGAAAGGTAAGAAATTAAAAGAAGCACATAAAAGTTTACATCCGTACAACCGCTCACCCACCGTATTTGTCTAATGCAGGAGAACCGAAAAATGAGCATTAATCCCGTATTGATTATCGTACTCGACCACATTTGATCATTGCTTATTCACGAAGTTTTCCACTACGATTATTCCCCAGTCACGTTTCTATAGGTTGCTATTGGAGTGTGTGGATGGTCATGTCATGCGGAGTTTATCAACCACAACAGCTGGCCGTTCTTGCCCGCAAATACGCTGGTGATTTCCCGTAAAAATTGCTGCCTTTCTACTTCAACAGTTTCTCGACGACAGTCGAGATTGTTGCTATCGAATAACACACATGCAAGCATTCTACTACCAAAAACACACGAGGAATGTCGTGGGTCCCATTGAGGAGCCGAACCCCTCGCAGCTGTGCCATGCAGCGGCAGAATATCGGCGAAACACGTCCCTGTGTTCTTCGGTAGCACTTGTGCAGCCAGTATGGTATCCTCCAAAACAGTAGAGTAGATGTGCTAACTCATGAAATGTCAACCAAAATTTCGAAATGCGTCCTCGTTTCGAAAAGATAAATTAAGTAATGTTGTAAAACTAATCATCATGCAGCATAAATCTATAATGATCCGGTTACCACAAGGTGTCGGCTTTCGAAAGAACTTATTTTCGGCTGCATGCAATATCTATACTCTGCAAAAAATGACTACTTATTTAGTATGCAATTTTCTCATTGATTTTCGATGCCCTTGAAAATTCAATTATATTTCATGACCAACATGCATAAAACTATTCATTCTCTTACTTATTCTGTAGAAAATCACGTCCTTTTCCAATTTCATACTCAAAGGAAGAGTATAATTCGGTTTTAAAAAATCTTTTCTGATTCCCGAATAATTTTGAACCCGACCAGCTGTTACACTTGCATTCAGGGATTCAAAACTACAAGCTGTATATTTTCCGTGCACGGAAAAACATGCATTTTTCCACGGTGTTAAGAGGAGATCATATGGGGTTCATAAAATTAAGCAGTGGATTTGAGCTTTATTGTTAACTTTACAAGCCACATTCGTAAATGCAGATACATGAGGTTTTATGAACGGCCATTTCAAGGTATTAAAAAATCTCACAATTAAAAACTTTTTGAGGCCGAATTATGCCCTTCCTTCGAGTACACAATAAGAAGAAGACGTAATCCCTACCAAATGAATGAAAGAATGAATATTTTTATGCATGCTTTCCATGAAATTAAATTGACTTTTCAAGAGCGTCGAAAATCAATAAGAAAATTGCATACTAAATAAGTAGTCATTTTTTGCAGAGTATAGGTATTGTCTGCAGCCGAAAATATGTTCTTTCGAAAGACGACACCCTGGGGAAACTGGATCATTATAGATTTGTGCTGCATCATGATTAGTTTTACAACACTACTTAATTTATCTTTTCGAAACGAGAACGCATTTCGAAATTTTGGTTGACATTTCATGAGTAAGCACATCTACTTTATATACTGCAAACTGCCTATTGATAGTTTAAAGAATAGTACGTGGCTCTCCGGCTGTGGTTAATAAACTTAGACCAAAGTGTTCACATGAAATTTCGTTTAAACTTATTTGCTAAGTATCAGCAGTTATTTTTTGAGGAAATTGTGCTTATGCTTTAGGGCTGTTTTATTTGCAATGTTTGATGTTAACTAAACTCGTTTGCATATGACGATCAAACGAGAAACCTACCGTTGTGGCGTGAGTACTCGAAAAGATTTAGCCCTTTTCAAGTTGGTCAAATCTGGTATTTGGCGAAGTTTGTGTGTCTAAGGAAATATATTTTCTGTACTGTACATGGTTGGGAGGATGTGGTATAACATAACTGATTCGGTGTTGTGATGTGCGACGGCGGCAGCGATGCCAGTTCATTCAAACACTTCCTTGTGATTTCGCCCGCACTACGCTGCAGTGCACGACAGATCATCCTTAGCAGGTTTTGGATGAATTATGTATTTTCCAATCAACACTGTGCAAGGTTCAGCGATTCCCTGATTGCATAATAATAACACAGTCGCCAGAGGTTATTTTTCGAAATGTTAGGGCCTTATTTACAATGGGTGGGCCAACTCATGAAATTTCGACTGAAATTCCTAAATGCGTTTTAGTTTCGAAAAAATTAATTAGATAGGGTTTGAAAATTAATCATCGCGCAGAATAATCCTATAATAATTCAGTTACCGCAAGTTGCCGACCTTCGAACGAACATCTTTCCGGCTGCATATAAAAACTACAATATGTAAAAATGACTACTTACAATGCATGACCTATCTCATGAAATCTGACAGCGGAATCTGATACGAGAATGTCTGGACGTCTACAACGTTGCGCATTTTGTTTGCTCATCCACAGCCTTCAACGATATGTACGTTTCCTATGCGGAAATTGTGTTTACGTAATTACATCAAGTAAAATATCAGTTCATTTTAACGAAAATGGACGTTGGATTATATTCGTGCAAGTTCCTATGCAAATACATTCCTAGACTCTGGTTACGCATTTGAGCGTCTTTTTTAATTGGAAGGATAGTAATTTACCCGCGAGATTTTTAATAAACAGATTTAACAGAACTCGAAAATGTATTTCATGTCCGATGTTAACCTTGGTAATCAGCCTGCTAACACAAAGGTTGTTTTAAAAAAACCAGTAATTTTATTGGTCCCTACATGTCAAATTAGCAGATATGTGCGATTACGTGACCTAAAGTGCAGTCATAACGCCGATAGGGATTCCTTCGTTTACATGGGCTGAAATTTTTTTGCCGTTTGGAAAATTCAACCTGATGTCACATAAATGACCACAACCGAATGGGCATTTCCAGTTCTGAACATATGAAACACTGCTTGTCATGCAGTTTAATTTCTCTGCATATCGCATTCAGAAATAGAAGGAGCAAAACATTAATAGTTTAAGCAAAATATCTGTATTTATATGGGCGCTCTGTTTTTAACTCATTTAAACATGTACTTAATTACCATAGACAGTTGACTCATGAAATGGTGTCGATTAGCGAGTGATTGGGAATCATTCGTAAATTTCGACAAATTTCATGAGTTAAGTCACTAACAGTAAGTAGTAGGCATTTTTCTCATTGATTTTCGATGCCTCTACATGTATACTTATACTTCCTGGAAAACAGGCATAAAAATGATCTTTCTTTCGCTTGTCTGGCAGACAATTACGCCTTCTTCCAATCTTATACTCGAAGAGGAACATAATTTGGTTCTTGAAAAAGTTAATAATTGTGAGACTATTTAACAGCGTGAAATGGCCGTTCATAGAACGTTATGTCTCTGAATTTACCAATGTGCTTTGTAAAGTTAACAATATGGATCAAATCCGATGCCAAATTTTACGAACCCCATATGGTCTCCCCTCAATACCGTAGAGAAATATGTGTTTTTCCGCCAGCGAAAAATACATGGCTTGTAGTTTGGAAACCCCGAATGCAATCGTGACGCCAGAGCGGGTTCATAATTATTCGAGAATTAGGATAGTTTTAAAAACCAAATAATACCCTTCCTTCGAGGATAAAAATGAAAGAAGACGTAGTTGCCTACTGAATGAGTAGAAGAATGAATACTTTTATACAAATTTTCAAGAAATATAAATAGACTTTCAGAGGCATCGAAAATCAATGAGAAAAATGCTTAAATGGTCATTTTTTTACACAGTATAGCCTTTGCATGCTGCAGAGGGAAGTTCGTTTGAAAGTCGGCAGCCTGAGGTAACTGAATTATTATGGAATTATACTGCAGACGAATTAGTTTCATAAACCTATTTAATTAATCATTTCGAAATGGAAACGCATTTCGAAATTTCTGTTGATATTTCGGGATGCTTGGCCAGCTCCTAAATTTTTGTGTTATTAAAGATTTGATTTTTATATGGGAAAACAGAATGGCTGCTTGGAATAGAATCTTCTCTGAGGAAGTAATTGTAAGTAACAATTTAAATTATTTTGATTGTTTTGGACTTTAAAGGCGTCTAAATTATTATAACTGTTGGAAGCATCTCTAAGTCCCTAAAGTTGTTTCTTGCATCTTAATTCAGTTTAATGCAGAAATGCGGTGTAATTTTCCACAATCAGACAATGGCTCCAAACATAAATGAAATGCATCGAGAAACTGTCCTCCGGGCAGCCTAAACGAACAGTCTGCCGAATGTCAAAAAACTAGAGCAAATTGACATCAGTCGTGAATAGACAATGAAGGCTATCGTGTTTGGCGGGAAGCTGTTTTTTGTACCCTGTAGAGAGCATAAATTACTTGCACAGATCTGATGACTGAAGTCGTAAAAAAGGTTGTATTTGGTGGTGTTAACTGACTCAACACTATTACGCGCCTTTGGTTGAGTTTAAAACGCAATAGCAGTATGTCAGTGTATAGTAGGTGGGTTAACTCATGAAATGTCAACCGAAATTCCGAAATGCGTTTTCGTTTATAAATGATTACTTAAGTGGTGTTGTAAAATAGATCATTATGCAGCGTCATTCTATGGTAATTCGGTTACCTCAAGATGCTGGCTATCGAAGTAACTTCTTCTCGGCCTCATGAAAAAACTACATCATGTAAAAATGAATACTTAGTTAACATGCATTTTTCTCATTTATTTTCGATGAACTTAAAAATTTGTTTATAAATCATAGAAAACACGCATGAAAATATTCATTCTTCTGCTTATCCGATGGCAAATTACGTCTTCTTTCACTTTTATACACGACAGAAGAGTATAATTTGTTTTTAAAGAAAGTTTTCAATTGTGAGATTTTTTAATACGGTGAAATGACCGCTCATAAAACGTCATCTTTCTGTATTTATGACTATGGCTTCTAAGGCTAGCATTATGGCTCAAATCCGCTGCTACATTTTATGACCCCATTTAGTCTCCTCTGATTACCGTAGAGAAATGTATGGTTTTCTATATGCATAAAATACGCGGTTTGCAGTTTAAAAACCCTGAATGCAAGTATAAGAGCAGGTCGGGTTCATACTTATTAGAGAATTAGAAAAGGCTTTAAAACCGGATTACAGTCTTTCTTTGAGTATAAAATTGAGGAAGATCTGATTTCGGTAGTTCGAGTTCAAAAGTATTCTGGAATCGGATATGTTTTGTTAAATCAAATTATACATTTGTCCGAGTATAGAGTTGAAAGACGTAATTCTCTACCGAATAAGCTGAAAAACGAATATTTTCATTTAGGTTTTCTATGAATTATAATTGAATTTTTAAGGGCATAGAATTTAAATAAGAAAAATGAATGCTACTTAAACAGTCATTTTTACAGAGTTAAGTTTTTGCATGAAGCTGAAACGAGGTTATTTCGATAGCCGGCATCCTGGGTAACCGAATTATTATAGGATGACGCTTTACGATGGTCTGTTTTACAGTCATACTTAATTCATTATTTTGAAACCAAATCGCATTTCGGAATTTCAGTTGAACATTTCTCGAGTTAGCGCACCTACTGTATGTGGAGTAATGTAAAGTTATTTTCGAAAAATACAGTTGTTTTCTGTCTTTATCGCGGAACGAAAAGATCAAGTGAATGTTTCTTCTAAGCTGAGACTTTTGAATCCACGCGAGTGGTCGCCTGATGATAAATAAATAATTAAGCCTAGATCACTTCCATTTGACTGATTATTCCAGATCTCTACTGTTTTGACGAAGGATCACGATGTCCGACCTGTTGCTGGCTTGAGTTGTAACCGCGGCCGCTCAGTCCGAGGTTGCGATTCCCTGACTAACTACTGCATATAAGCCAAACAAATAAATGACCTTCTAATAAGGACTATGATGGATTCGCAGTAAATCAACTTGCAGGTCCCTTGCTTATTGTGAGTAATAATACTTTTTACTAAGGCGTGATCCTCCTATTCCAGAAACTTGGTAGAGGCCTCTTCTGTAAATGAATCACCATCAGGGTCGTTCTATTCCAGCCGGTAAGTTAACATGTTTAGGGGACCAGGTCGAGCATGTGGGTAATAAGATAACTAAGGTGATATTTATCTTTTCATACAAGTGGGATGTGGGACCGTTGGCGCATAATTAGAGACAGTCAGTCCCAACCTTTTCAGTCGATTAGGGGAGGATGGGAAGGTCAGGTGAATTACGTGCAATTAGTGAGTTAATTGAAGTTTGGTCTCTGTAAAGGCGAGGCATGCATGGGATTCTCCTGTGCACACAGGAGCTGCTTTCTACTATCGCTTGTAGACAGCCCACACTAAACACGATAGTCATCGTTTGAAGTAAACCATACTTACCGTCTCTAATTATCATACCATGTTCCCAAATCCAACTTGCCCAAAAACATAAATATTTCCCGACGTACCTTATTACTCACCCCTTTCACTTGACCCGTTTACCCTGTAAATGCACTACCTCGATAGGAATTCATTGAAAACAAACTCCGCCCTCCAAGCGGTCTTTTGAATTAAAAGTCGTCCACTTTCACGAGAGATTCTGAAAAACATTGTAATCACACGCCGTTTTACTTAGGGGTATAGAGGGTAGTACAGTGTCTGCCAAAGCATCCGCTGTCCAGTAATAACGTGCTGGTCTTTTCGTTGTCTCAAAAGGCCGTTCAGGGGACACTCTTGTAGGGATATTTGTTAATTCCTCTCTGTCAGCAAACTGAGAGAATTTTCGAGTCCTGTGTGTATTCTATCTCATTTCTCCTACCTCTTTTGGATCGTTGACTACGTCGAAGGCATTTCCTGCCGAACAAACAGGACTTTTAAAAGCGAGGGGGTAATAAATATTTTTAAATTATTTTATCGTGTTTATAAAGTCCACCAGATGACTTCGTGCAAATCTAGTCAATCACGAAAGTACTACTGAGTGAGATTAAGCAAAACTGGCGACAATTTGCCACATAGTAGCGTCAAGTACGAATATACATGGCACCACATACTATTTTTCTGAACACCTCCATAATATGTGTCAGGTGAGGGAGATAGTTTACGGTTTCCTTGAATTCTCAGTAAAGACGGATGCGTCCCTTGACCTAGGAGAAGTAAGTTTTCAAGTAGCAACTTCAGATTAATGTCTTTTTTCTTCACGATAAGAAACCTCAACTCCAAACGAAAATTTCAAAGCATGGTGCGAGTAGCGCATGAGTGTTGTAGATGGAAAACAGTGGAAGTTGAGTTCCTGAACGTATAATTATACGCTTTCTCATGAACTATTGACCTAAATTCTGAAATGCACTTTCGATTCTGATTAGTTTCTTAAGTAAGATTGTTACCCTAGTTTTCTTATCGCATAACTTCAAGATATTCTAGTCACGACAGGATTTCGATTTCCTAAAGAACTTTTTTGCCAACCTGAGGAAACTAATTCTGCGAGAAAATACGATTTAAGTAGCATGTTTTCCCGTCGATTTTCGACGTCATTAACTCAAATATATTTTGCAGAATAAATGCATAATAATATTCTTTCTTTTACTTACCTGGCGCCAAATTACACCTTCTTTAATGTTCATGGTTGAAGAATGTGTATCATCTGGCTTTAAAATACTTCCTTGGTTCCAGAATAATTTTGAACCCCTCCTGCCGTTATGCTTGAATTAAGGGTTTCCATACTGCAACCTATATACCATCCACGCGAGGAGAGTCGTAAAGCTCTATAAGGTATTTATATAAGGTCACATAGGGCTCCCTGAATTTTGTAATCGACGCTGACTATGTTGTTCGGTTTATAAGCCCAAACATTAAATGTACTGATGTGATACTGTTGATCGAAAAACATCACAATGAAAAACTTTTTTAAAAACAGAACGGCTCTCTTTTTTCAAGTATAAGATTTGAAAAAGGCATAATTTGTTATCATTTGAGTAAAATACCGAATGTTTAACGAGGGTTTCTATAAAATATATCTGAGTTTGTGGTGACATCGAAGACCAATCGGAAAAATGCAGGCCACATATATAGTCATTCTTCACAAAATTAACTTCACCCTGGCGACCAACAGGAATCTATTTTGACAGCCGGAATCCTGCGTGAATGGTATACCTTACCATTAAGAGACATGGTAATAAATATGACAACGCTACTTATATAATCTTTTTAAAATGAAAACCTATTTCAAAATTTCGGTTAGTATTTCATGAGACTGCAGATTTACTGCACACTGCGAACAGCATTCCTAGCGAGATATTCATCGTAGGTTCCTCTACCACTGTCTTGCGGTGTGCGAAATTTGAGCAGTCTGACACCAAATGAACCATGCGTTAAGGTTGCTAATGAGGTATGAGAACATCCATTATTTTTAAAAGACATGCTCGTCATGTGTAGTCGACCAATGACGTAGAACCAGCCGATAGACTTAGGGGGTTCAACACAGAACGCGCTAAAGGCGGACGGAATCAGAACGCCTACAAAAACGGTCCTATGTATTCTTATAACCACTTATGTGACCTTTTGATGTACGTGAAAAATAAAAGCGCAAAATAGCATACGATCATTTGTTTAGGTTGCTTTCTGCATTCAAGAGGTCTGAACTTCAACGTTTTCGGACATACAAATACGAATACGTCTTGATAGTAGAAAAGGCACATTCTAGGAGGACAGTGACGTCCTAGGAATACCCAAGGCGCTGGGTTGTCTATGAAATTTAGAGGAGTTTTAATTCTTAGAAAACACGTGTGCATTTTGTGCCCAATCAAACTTCCTCCTTCTCATAGGTGTACAGTATGTAGGCTAACTCATGAAATGTCAGACGAAATTCCGAAATGCGTTTTCGTTTCAAAAAGACTAATCAAGCAGGGTTGTAAAACTAATTATCATGCAGCGTAATTCCACAATAATTCAGTCACACCAGGATACCGGCTTTCGAACGAACATCTTGTCGGCAGTATGCATAAACTGTACTCTAAAAGATGGCTACTTAAGTAGTACTCATTCTTCTCATTGATTTTCGATGTCCTTAAAAATTCAATTATTTTTCATAAAAAACGTGCATAGAAATATTCATTTTTCCGCTCACTCGGTAGAAAATAACGTTGCCTTTCAGGTTTTTACTCAAAAGACGGATATAATTTGGCTTTAAAGGGTTTACATTTATGAGATTTTTTAAAACCCTGAAATGGCCGTTCATAAAACGCCATGTTTGAGCCTTTACCAATATCACTTGTAAAGTCACCAATAAGGCTTATATCTACCGCCTAATTTCATGAAGTTCATATGGCCTCCACTTAACGCCTTAAAGAAATGTATGGTTTTCCGCACGCGAAAAATATACAGCTTGTAGTTTGGAAACCCAGAACGTAAGTGTAACGGCAGGTTGGGTTCGAAATTATTTGGGAATAAAAAGGTATCTGAAAACCGAGTTATACTCTTTCTTCGAGTGTGAAATTGAAACAAGACGTGACTTTCTACGGAATCAGTAGAAGAGTGAGTATTTTTATGCATGTTTTCTATGAAATACAATATAATGTTTAAGGGCATGAAAAATCAATGAGAAAAATGCGTGCTACATAAATAGTTATTTTTAGAGCATAATTTTTTCATACGGCCGACAAGAAGTTCGTTCGAAAACCGGCATCCTTCGGTAACTGAATTACTATAGCTTTACGCTGCACGATGGTTAGTTTTATAACCCTACTTACTTAATCTTTCGAGACGAAAGCCTATTTCGGTTGAGGTTTCTTGATTTAGCCCACCTTGTGTACTGAAAAGTCCGCTGAAGGAAAGACTAAATAGTTTTGTTCGAACCGCCGTATTAGTCTCCTCCATGCTAAGCCGTTTGCTGATCGTCTCATCACCGGGATAATTTTACTTTGCGACGGAAAATTCTGAAAACATATTGCCAAAAAACACGCAGGCAATGTCTGTACCAGCGGTCTTGGAAGTAACAGTTAGGTCATTCCTGGGAGACCAATCGATTGCTTCTGTTTTTCACCTGTAAGAGGAGGAGTCCACCTCGTGGACATTTAAATGGCTGTATTTGTAACCCATCCACCATACATTTAGTAGACTTTAAAATTTCAGTTTTTATGTATGATATGCATTCTCCAGATACCTATCAGTTGTGAAGTCCGGATACTGCTCAAAATATCTGACCTCGCCTCCCTTGGACATAGTCATCTCTAAGTGCTGAAATAATCAACACATACTATTGAAATTAACACCCATATTTCTGCTTTTCTATGAAGACAGGGCCTTTATACTGCAGGGAAATTTCATTTAAGACCTTAGTGGCTACCGAATAAGCAAATCATCTTTTTACTCTACTCTTCGCTTCGGTCTTTTCTTTTGCCCATGGGCCGTTAAATACCACTGTAAACAAATGATGCTGCGGGTTGACGCTTGATTGGCCGTTTGTCGGGCTGATCGAATTTCATTCCGAAAATTGTTAAGATTTGTCATCAGATGCAAAACAAATATGGAGCCTCGTTTGACTTGACCTACACTTCCTCTGTGAATGCATAGGACGCTTTTTTCAGAAATTTAATTGGCGACTGCGCTAAGGCCACCCATCACGACCCTTTGTTTTGCGGACGTAGGCCTGGTCTAATTCGGTTAAGTATTTAACCAAATTACCCTCCCTTAGGAACCATATCACCAGGTGAAAAAAACAAAGCTGCCTAAGAACTAGGTTAGCACAGACATTTTCGTATAAGGGGGGGGGGAAGTAATAGCAATTTAAATGTCAAATTAGCAGGCCACAGTCATAAAAGATCGGTGACATATGTTATATGTGCACAATAACCTGCATCGTATTGGGCTTTTTGTGGAAGATTTTCTGATTTTTAAAAAACAGGGTATGACCTTAGCTCTCATACAGGGCACATGACCATTATGCCATTATGTGGGGACTTTGACAGCTCACCGGAAACAGGGGGTCTCATAAGAACACATAATCTCGTAAAATTACGATGTCATCTCTCAAAAAGAGCTGAATAATCCATAAGGCGGGCAATGGCGTTTTTACATCGTGAGAACGGTAGGTCTCTGAACTCCCCAGAACACCTTTGGATTACGTGAGCCTGGTAGTTATCTGGTTAATTCTAGATGTATTACTAAGGAAATTCTGCTTGGACAGTCAGCTTACTTTATCAGATTTGGTAGATTTCAGACGTTACAGTAGGTTGTGTGGGTGAACCTGACCTAAGTGTGATAAAACTCGCCTCGTCCGGTGGGGCCCCATAGATCAGATGGTTGGAGCGTTGGTTCTACTAAAGCCTCCTCTTGCTGTCATGGGTTCGAATTCCACGGAGGCACCAAGTTTTTCACAGTTGGGTCAAAAGTGAAGAACAGTTATTGTAAAATTTAAGATAGTGTTCCTTGGATTTCTCAAGACCCTATGAATATCCACGCCCTTGCCTTACAAAAACGCTATCCAGACCCACTTAAATGATTGTTTGGGGTAAGTTAACTTACAATGCGTTACCTACTTCATGGAGTGTGTCGAAATTTACGACTGATTGCCAATCACTCGAAAGCGAACATCATTTCATGAGTCCAATATCTATGTTAACTAGGTACCAGTTTAAAAGAAGTGAAAACACAAAAGAAATATTAGAGGCAGTGTTGCATTGTTTAGAAATGCTGATTTCTTTAAAAAAAACGCAATATTCCGAAAATGTCCGAAATGGCTCTTATTTAGTAAACTCCGTTTTTAGATGTATAGCATGCATTCTCATGCGCCAAACGTGGTAAATATGAAATCAGATATAAAACAACGTCTAATAAGAGTGTTTCACTGACGTTTGCATCTAAATGTCGTTCAGGAATTAGTGTAATTTCATACATGGCGGTTCGTCCACTGTCTACATTTTGAGTATAGGTTCCAAAACAGTTTTCCAGGGATTCGCGTTACCCTTGACCCTCTCGAATTAAACGAAATGGGGTTCAACTAGAGAAACTGGATTTTGCTGGATTTCACCCATGGGACCTCGTAGGAACAAAGGTTATCATAAAGTGACTTGCTGTCAGGCCGATCGGTGTCAAATAAATTTAAATAGAACTGACAGGTGTGATCAAAAACCTGCCATTTTGTGTTTATACAGAGAAATTTTCTTTTGTTAAATTAATCTACACTTTTCATTCGTTTTCTATTACGCCGAGTTTTAGATCGGCCTCGAAATGCTGCTGAATACTTCATGATTTTCAGTGTTTTCATCCGATCGTCCACATTGACAGATTCTGAATAATCCGTCTGTTGAGAACTTTAAAATAAGATTATCCTTGAAGGTATTTACCGAATTAGTGAGTTTTCGGGCGCTCCTTTTCACGAAGATGGTCGTTTGGGTCACATGTGAAGACTCATTCAAACATCAAACGTCATTTTCGAGAAAAATGGTTGTCCACAACGAAAGTCGACAACGAATATGCCCTCGGTCAATCAAAAAAACTTCCTCTAATGAGTTACCTCTTTAAGAAATGCTTTATTAATGCACTCTGTCGACGAATCTCTGTGTTGTTTGAATTTTTGCACGGCGTGGCCAAGTAAAAATTTGAAACTTTTGGCCGTCACTCTCACGTTCCTAAACAATACTAATATTATTATGCGGTGAACGTAAGAACAGGCCCTCCTTTATACATCGAGACCGTTTCCAGTGTTTTTGCTCGTTTTTAGGCTCCGTTCTTCGATTGAATACACGGTAGAGCGCCCATATAAATAGTGATATTTTGCTTAAACTATTAATGTTTTACTCGTTATATTTCTGAATAAGGTATTCAAAGAAACTAGACTACACGACAAACAGTGTTTCATATGTTCAGAACTGGAAATGTCCATTCGGTGGTGGTCATTTATGTGACATCAGGTTGAATTTTCCAAACGACAAAAAAATTTCAGCCCACTTAAACGAAGGAATGCCTATCTGCGTTATCACTGCGCTTTAGGTCACCCAATCGCCCATGTCTGCTAATTTGACATATAGGAATTAATAAAATCAGTGGTTTTCTCAAAGCAAGCTTTCGGTTTACAGGTTGATTACCACGGTTAACATCGGACATGAAATAAATTTTCGGGTTCGGCTAAATCTGTTTATTTAAACTCGCGCGGGCAAATTACTATCCTTCTTATGGAAAAGCCGCTCAACTGCGTAACCGAATTCTAGGGCAGGTATTAGCATAGGAAATCGCATGAATATATTCCAACGTCCGTTTTCGCTAACATGTACTGATATTTCACTTGAAATAATTACGTAAACGCAATTCCTGCATAGCAACAGGACATTTCGTTAAAGGTTATGGATGAGCAAACAAAGTGCGCAACGTTGAAGACGTCCGGAAATTCTCGTATCAGTTTCCGTTATCAGATTTCATGAGATGGGTCACGTACTGTAGGTCCTAAAAAACGTCCGCCATCTGATTGCATTTAATTTTAATTGCATCTGTCCACTCTCAACATAGGCACAGAGGAGGGTACCCAGTACGTTTTCCAGCTAAGCCCCACAAAATCCTCCATTCCAATGCTGCGAACGCACCAGGTGCCCGATATGACCTTCTCCAATCTCTGGCAGATTGTGCGACTGTGTGCCGCGGAGGCCCTTGGCACTGCCCTCCTCAACTTCACCTTCGTACGCGCCCTTGAGCATCCGCCGGGGCCCGCCGCGGCCTTCCTTATTGTGCCGATAGCTCTGACCCTGGCCATCTGGATCGCCGGACCAATCAGCGGTGGTCACGTAAACCCGGCCGTAACTCTGGCCCTCTGTCTCTGCCGTCTGGTATCCTTCATCTACCTGCCCATCTACTGGTTGAGTCAGTTCCTCGGAGGTCTGGCGGGCGCCGGTTTGGCGCATGGATTCACCCAGGCGATGCTGCGGGCTACAGCGACCAACGGCGGCATGGCAAACCTGACGACTGCTGACAGTCAGGCCTACAACGGAGAATTCTTCTGGCTGCATTTAGCGGCTGAGCTGACGACTACCAGCATGCTCGTTCTGACTGTTCTCGTGAGCGCTGACCCAAAACGACCCGGCGCATGGGCCAGTCATGGCTTCTACACCAGTCTAGCCGTTGGGATGATGGCTCTCATTATTGGCTTATTCTTCGTAAGTTGAATCCGTCGTTTCAGAGGAAGAGGCAGGTTTCTGTTGGGGATAGGCTAGACGCAACACAAACGATCGTTACTATTTGAAATTACACCAACTAAATAACAACGGCTTTAGAAGTTTAGAGTTAATATTTGCATGCGAATTGGGCAAATGAAAGGATCGGAACCGGTTCGGAGCGTAATCAAGATTAAAAGAAGGCGAAGGCACGATCACTGGGACAGTAGGTTTATTTGCCTGCATACGCGCGCACCCACGCCGGACAAACGGAAGAGAAACACCAACAATTTGGCACTCCCTACCGTACATAAAGAATGTGTCCGAGGCTACAGAACGCATCGCGTCAGAGCTAGGCGTGGGCATCGCTCATCATCCGGCGGCCACCATGCGCAGCAGGATCGTGAAAATGAAGGATCGGCTGGACGCAGGTGAACAGTCGGGCATAGTCTATCGAATCCCGTGCCAAAACTGTCCTTGCCACTACACAGGCCAGACAGGACGACGTCTGAGCTCACGAATATTTGAGCACAAACGGGCCGTTCGGAGAGGCGACCAACTGTCTCAAGTAGCCACTCACACGCTGGGGGAACGGCATGAGTTCGACTTCGCCAACACGAGGATATTGGCGCGAGCCGGTAACAAGGCAGCGCGAGAGCTGTTGGAGGCATGGGTGTCGGACACCAACTCCATCAACAATCACATCGATTTGCCTGCGTGTTATCACGCGCTCCGCCCACGCAGCCAGGTGGCGCAGCTCACACCGTCGCAAAGTGCAAACGGCGTCACCACGCCGGGGAAACATCGTGGACCAGGCGGCACAAACCGTAGCTAGCCACGGACGTACTTCCCCTCCCCCCCAAGGACGAGCGATATGAATGTTCACAATTTGCTGCACTTAAGTAGTCTCTGATGATGAACTCCAGTTCGAGTTCGATAGCTCAGGCAAATAAACCTACTGTCCCAGTGATCGTGCCTTCGCCTTCTTTTAAACAAGAACCTGGGATGCGCATATTCTCTTCCATTCGCGTAATCAAGATGCTCAAACGTCTTGCTTATCAAGAGCCTAGGTCAGGTCATATTTAGTTGCCGTACCTGCAGTAGACAAACTCCAGCCTAACCCCTTACCCCAACCCCTAATTCTAATCCCTAACAGGTAGGGCTATGAAACAGGATCTAGCCGACACCTACAGTGAGTGACCGATCTCATGAAATGTTGGCTGAAATTCTGAAATGCGTTTTCGATTAGGAAGGATTACCTGGTCGCGGTTGTGCTATTGATTATCTTACGGTAGACTCTTATAACATTTCGGACTCGGCAGGATGTCTGCTTTTAAATGCACTTCATTTCAATCTCCTGTAGTAAGCGTAGTGAAAGTGGCTGAAAGGTCACCTGGGTTGCGGAAACGTTGTCATGTGTGCGCGAGCAGTGAATATCACCACATCGACGCTATTCTGATCGATAGACAGGCGTCATAGAAAGGACAGAGCGTGATTGTTTGGTTTACCTCAGAATAACTTGTATTTCTGATCACTGCAAATCAGGAGACTTTAGACTACTGTTCAGGACACTCGATGTGCGCATCAGAAATGCGGTGTCCCAGCCAGGGAGCAGCGCGATGCACATATAGTGAGTGACCGATCTCATTAAATGTTGGCTGAAAGTCTGAAATACGTTTTCGATTAGGAAGGAATACTTGGTCGCGGTTCTAATACTGATCATCTTAAGACATACTCGTATTACATTTCGGACTCGGCAGGATGTCGGCTTTTAAATGCACTTCATTTCAATCTCCTGTAGTAAGCGTACGCGGCAGAAAATGACTACTTATGTAGCATACATTTTTCCCATTGATTTTCGATGGTCTTGGAAATTCAAATATATTTTATAGAAACCATAAACAAAAAATATGCTTTCTTTTAGTCAATCAATAGAAAATCATGTCTTCTTTATATTTTATACTTAATGAAGGAGTATAATTAGGGTTTAAAAAAGTTTTCTAATTTCCGAATAATTTGGAGCCTGATCATCCATTGCGTTAGCGCTTAGTGACATCACTCTACAAGGTGCATGCGTTCCGCGTAAAGAACATCACATATTTTTCTATGCCATTAGAGAGATATCGTACAGAGTCCATAAAATTTTGCAATGGATGCGGACCATGTTGTACATTTCATGAGGAGCAGTGGTAAACGGCCAAGTACGATGCAATGTGAATGGACATTTCGCGGTCTTAAAAAGTCTCATAATTAGAAAACTTTTTCAAAACCTAATTATACTCCTTCCTTAAGTAAAAAATATAGAGAAAACGTGATCTTCTATTGATTAACTAAAAGAAAGCATATTTTTGTTTATGGTTTCCATAAAATATATTTGAATTTCCAAGACCATCGAAAACCAATGGGCAAAATGCATGCTACATAAATAGTCATTTTTTGCCGCGTACGCTTACTACAGGAGATTGAAAAGAAGTGCATTTAAAAGAAGACATCCTGCCGAGTCCGAAATGTTATAAGAGTCAACCGTAAGATAATCAGTATTACAACCACGACCAGGTAATCCTTCCTAATCGAAAACGCATTTCAGAATTTCAGCCAACATTTCATGAGATCGGTCACTCACTGTATACTCAAGTCATAATTTCCAACCAATTCACGCTGTATAGGATGACAGTCAAAGATGAAGAAAAATCGGGGCTTTAGGTCTGAGATGGAGAATGTAACAGGAAAATTAAATCTGAAGACGAAGATAGGCTCTCCGGAAGAGGTTTATTTAAGTGCTGACGTTTCAAAGAGCTGGGTCGGCTGTTCGTTGTCAAAGCGTAAAATGCACTTAATCGATCAGAAGTTTAATTTAAAGTGACATCTTTTGTTAGTCGGCCTTATGCTGATCGATTTTTCTCTCCTCTCGCTGCCTCGGCCTCTCGGAAGATGGTTGACTGGCGCTTTGCCTGTGTGCTTTGCAAGTCACCACTACGTCGAGGGGAGCTGATAAGACTTTAGTTGGGCGGTCGGTCTGGCGGTTCTTCTTCGTCCTCACCGAGTAAACTCAGCGTCGGGGTATCTCCGTGCGGCCTTCTTAAGTCCGGTGTGGTTGTTTGGTCCTAAGCTCTACGATTGTGATGACGTAGGACATTGTAAGCTGCAGGAAAGTCCACGTGCCTGTTGATAGAGTGGGCATCGGAGAACCACGCCTCGAGAGTTAGCCGTTCTGCTTTTGTATTGCCTCGGCCTAAGATGGTAGCCCTCTGGAGGTCAAAAGTATGCCCCGTTTCTCCAACGAGTGTTGCTAGTTGAGAGTTGGGGTCAAACCTTCGAGTGGCCGATATGTGCTCTTGTAGGCGAGTTTGCAATTTTCGCCCGGTTTCGTCCACACAGTTGCCGGCCAACACAACATGCCACTTAAAATTAAATTTCTGATCAATTAAGTGCATTTTACGCTTTGACAATGAAGAGCCGACCCAGCTCTTTGAAACGTTAGCATTTAAATGCGCCTCTTCCAGAGAGCCTATCTTCGTCTTCAAATGATCAACCCGGATATCTCAACTTTTCCAATCTGAAAATTAAATTTATTTGTAAAGCAGGTATAAATTGAATCTAAAAGACACCCAGACAGCAGAAAGCTAGTCTCAGAATGCAACCTTTGAAGGAAATAAATTATATTTTTTCGGGCTTTGACATCTTAAATTTGTTCGCAGTCTGTCCATGTCTAAAACGAATTGGTTTCTTAAAGAACACATGAAAGCATTCAAAATAATGGCATTCGACACCGCCCTGGAGTCAACATTTGTCATGTGTTTGCGGATTGCAGTAAAAAAGTAAACTCACTTAAATTCATAGTTCTTGCCGGAAAAATAATTGAGTGGTTTCGGTTCTGTCATTCAAATTATCTTTGGGAGCAAACTAGAGAAGTATTTAACTGAAGGATTTATTCCACACATTCGTCTCTGTGAAAACTAAAGGACTTAGAATTCAAAACACCGAAGTATGCATCAGGGAGACTCTCTGACAAGCCGAATTTCCCGCAGATTTGGCATGCAACAACAACCATTAGCAAAAACCTGACTAGTCTTTTAGGTGCTGTCAACAAGATGAGTCATGCAGAAGGTCACGCGTATCACCCAATCAAAATGTTTCCTTTCTGACACACAACAGCGACTCAATGCGAATCAGGTCCGCCGAACTATGGCACCAATGCGCCTTCAGGGCTTTAAGGCAAATAAGTCAACTATTTCGACCTGGGAAAAATGCAAGTTATGCGATACCCACACAATCCGTGCTGTTCACCCGGGATGATACAGGCCTTACCTGTCCAGGGTGCGTTACACTACCGAGGCACGTAGTACAATGAATCCAGAGAGGGCTCAGTTACCACCACCTTGCTTTTCCCTGGCTGGGACTTCTAAAACATCGAATTTCTTATGCATACACTGATTTCTCTGAACAGTAGTCTGTAGTCACCTGATTTGCAAGTACTGCAGAAGTGAATCAAGCAATCGCACTTTGTCCTTTTTAAGTTTCCTATTTACCGACACGAGTAGCGCCGACGGGTTGATATTGAACGCTAGCGCAGAAGTGATAGCATGTCGTTAATCCAGTTGGCCTTTCAACCTACTGTCGCCAGAAATTTGCAAAGCCCTCTTCAATAGCGTTCTGGTAAGTGCGTTTTGGATTGCTTCCTATAGTTGGCTTGATCGATTCCCCTCAGTGTATAATAGGTTAGTTGTAATTAAGCAATCAGCGAGGGAGAAACATGCCTGATTTATTGTTGTTCTCTTACCACGCAAGGTTGCCAATTTGGTGGACTTCCTCATGTTACGTTGGTGTCTGTATTTTGACATGCGGCTGGCTTGTCGCCGAGAGTTTTTTCATTGACCACTATCATGCATACATCGACATAGTATATTTGTATAAATTTGGATAATTAGAAAATCTGAGGTAAGATTTATTTCAGTTCTTGAATGAGGCAAATGACAACTTAGGGTGGGCCAGCTACTCGTGAAAAAAGTTAAAGATTAAAGGAAATCGGAATAAAGTTCACGATAGAAAATAAACTATGTAACGGAAAGCACATGAACAACGCTGGGGAGCCGGCGTAGGGCGAGACCACCACAGCTGCTTGGCACAGCGACGTAGCCTTTGCGAACCATGCGACTGAGCTTTTAGCTAGTACCCGCCATTGGAGTATGGCAAATAAGTCCATGGAGAAGGGGACACGATCGCCGGGACAACAGCTTTATTAGCCTGACGTTTCGGATTCCTACTCGAATCCATCTTTAGAGACCAAAAAGCAGAAACAGGTGGTTGTTGCACAAGGGGCTGCGGTATTTATAGGATGCAGTAGCCATGCTACCGCATACCTATGAACATTCATGACTCCCCCTTCATCCGGGATCGTTGCACTTGGTGTGATCGTTGCTTGATGGTCGACACTGAAGTCGATAATTGCTGCAATTTCATCACGTGTTTGGATGTTGGCGCGATGATGGCCCAACTATCTGACGCACCGACCCCGGTGTTGGGAAAAATGTTCACCTCTGCGTTCCCTGCATGGCTTGTTACTCCGCCTAGGCGAATGTCGGCCATTAAGCAATGATCACACCAAGTGTGACGATCCCGGATAAAGGGGGGAGCCATGAATGCTCATAGGTATGCGGTAGCATGGCTACTGCATCCTCTAAATACCGCAGCCCCTTGTGCAACAACCACCCGTTTCTGCTTTTTTGTCTCTGATGATGGATTCGAGTAGGACTCCGAAACGTCAGGCTAATAAAGCTCTTGTCCCGGCGATCGTGTCTCCTTCTTCAAGACTACTTTCTGGCAAATCAGTCCATGTTCGAAACCTGACACTTCGATCGTCGCTGCCGACGACGACAACTTTGTAAGGCACAGTATGGTGAAGCTGGGACGGTGACTTGTGGGTGAGCTAGTTTATAGCGAGTATAGGCTTGCACCGCATCCTACCGCACTCTCTCATATCACATCTGGGCCGGTTGTCAAGCCACAGTCAAGAAGACCTTAAGCGAGGGAGGACGTAGGTGGAAGGCCCGGCCGAGCCCGCACCTTGGCACTCCATTCCACCCTCCCTAGTCCAAATAGTAAATGACTATGACTTTGATTTTGACCAACAACAAAAATGGAGTGGGCCGTCCTGGAAGTGTGGTTTCTCAGTCCACATTTGTAAATCACTAATTGCCTGTATTTAAAACAAACATAGTACGCGATATTCAGCTGAATTTTTTGGACTCCAGCCCAGCGTATTGAGTATCTTTCCTGTATCATGAGATCTCAAGAGAAATTTCGAAAGGTGTTCTTGATTAATAAGGACTAGTAAAGTAGCGTTCTAATATTAATAATTTTTCGGCATAATCCCTTGAGACCTCAGTTGGGCTAAGATTTCGATTTCTGAAGGAGCCCCAGTTCGCTCGCCTCTAAAAGTTATATCCAGTACAAAATCACCGCATATGTGGTACGAATGTTTCCCGTTATTCATGGTGCTCCATGTATTTAAACACATTTCGTGTTAATCTTAAAATTCAGAGTAATCATAATTCTTATCAAAATGAGTATTGGACTAGATATTTTCTAGTATGATACTCATTTTGACAGAAAATTACATTACGTTATTGTTGCTGAAGAAATGATATTTGTGGCTTGAGATTTTTGTGGCTGTTTAGTTTTTAAAACAGCGGAATTTCCATTTAAACAACATCCTATCGGCGTACCTACAAACGCAGGCTATGAAGTACACAACATGAACATGTATAATGCCTAAAGTGCATTTTTAATATGGTTAGTTTATGTGTGTTTCTCAAACACGGAATACGTACAGCGCTTACTTAGGATTCCCTAAGTGCTTGTGTGAATGCAGACTGAATTCAAAATCATACGAGAAAAAAAAGATTGTAATGCATAAACACGTAACTTCGTCAAGTAAACCATTTTAAGGAAACATAATATGCGACTAAGTGCATACAAGAATGGGTGCTTTTATGCCTGTTTTTTTATAAATCTGATTTGAATATACGAGGGCATCTTAAATCAGTGGCAAAAATTCATGCTAATCTCCTTCGCACTTCTGACGAAATATGGTTCAAAAGGTGGCCGTACCAATGCTCATTTGAAAGCCCGCACGCTAAGGCGACCGGTTCATTACGGGATTAGGTTTTTATTTCGGCTTATTTTTCGGAAATGTATTTTTTAAACCTTTGAACTCCCTATTTATCACAAAAAAGGAATTAAACTTTGGGAATGAAAAAAACCCACACGGCCACGTAATAACTTTAAAACCCACACAGATAAGAGAATTAGTTTAAGTAATGAAAACACCGACACTACTAATTACATTGTGGCATAGTCATTTTATGCATAACTGCGCCACAGAAAAAGTAATATGATTTTAACAATCTGTAAGCGCTCAAGTGAATGCCAGTATGTTCGAGCACTGTGCTTAGAGCAAAAGTATAGTTAACATTTCAAATACGCCCAAACAATCTTGCCTAATAGGAAACGGACTTTGGAATTTCGTTTGGCGTTCCATAAGATAAGCCAGATTGCGTCACTATATATATGTAATGGTAGAGGGCACTCATTGATCGTTCTTACGGAACTCACTCGTCCCGTTGTGCCTTACGGCTCTTTCTCGAGCCCAACCAGCAGCCGCACAGCGGCGCATGATATATAGGTAGAATGGTATTATCGACGAAGTCAAGAGAGACTGGAATGGTCGTTTTTGGCTTATTAACCGTCGCCAGCCAGTCATACCCAACGCTGAGGTGTGGGAAAACTGGACCCCGAACTCGCAACCTGTTAGTTAGAAGCCCAACGCCTTCAAATACTAAGACCGATGAGCGCCCCCTACCACTTTATATTCCCGATCGACACCGACAGGACAAGGAGCCTCTGGCCCTGTAGTTAGAGGCGTTGGGCTTCTAACTAACAGGCCCATGTGTTCTACACCTCGTGGTCGGGTGTGACTGGCTGACCTCGGCCAATAAAATGACCATTCCAGTCTCCCGTGTCTTTATCAGTAATAAAATTCTGCCTACATCATGCGCCGCTGTGCGACTGCAGGTTGGGCTCAAAAAAGAGTCCGTAAGACATAACGGAAAGGGAGCGTTCCGTAAGAACTATCGTAATAGTTCTCCTACCATTGTACATACCCGATAGAAACCGACAGGACAACGATCCCGTGGCCCAGTGGTTAGAGATGTTGGATTTTTAAGGGGTCGCGGGTTAGATCCTCAGGTGTTTCACACCTCGGAGTCGGTTGACGACGACTAATAAGACAGTCTCCTTTGTCTTTGTCGGCAATAACATTATATATATATACACTGTTTTGGTCTGAGCGCGAGTTTTGTGGCACCAGAGTAACCGCTGTCGCAGACCCTAGAATTAAACTCAGCATAGGTCTTATTGCCATCTGGGGATGACAGTTTTCATGGCCTGTTGTTACTTTTTCAGGAGCCACAACTAGCCTGCTTTGTCAATCCCGTGGTTGCGTTGGGATCAAAGATTGTTGTTGGTAATACAGCCAACTTCTGGGTGAGTTTTTCTGTTATTTATTTTTTTGCATTATTTAGTAGCGCTGCCCTTGAAAGGCGCTACATCCTTGAGGGTGCTAAGCTCTCAAAGCGTTTATAAAAAATTGTCGACCTCACCATTTAATAAAAAATCTATCCGATAAGACAGCCGTTAATTCCTCCAAAGAGATTGTAAGCATAAAAAGTAGAGCTGACAGGGCCAGGACACGTTCCCTAAATGGACGATATCATACTGTTTTGCGAAATAGACTGCAGTCACCATAAGTGAGGATGCCTCTCTAGTGCAGACACCTCAAATTTATCAGGCAAAACAAACGCAACATTCATAATTACTTGGTCAAATTACTTGCTTACAAACTTTCAGTGAAGAAAATTTCAGAATTTAGTTTTTCAGGGAAACATCGGGACAAGCAAATTAAGAGGTAGATATTGTGGTCGTTTATACAATGTAAGCGTAAGCTCTCCTCCCGTTGTGGCACAGTAAATAACTGGGTTAAAGTGGTGAGGAAGATGCAAATGGGGTCGCAGGACCAATCCTCGCCGCTTTTTACCTTAAAACAACCTTTTGTGGAAAAGCAGAAAAAGTGAATTGCGTTAGACGCAATCAGTGAGTGAAAATTGTTCCCCAAGGAAGATGAATATGAAAGTTTTTCTAGACCTAAATGCACGAAACAGATGTCTGGGGTTTTGTCTAATATATTTACTGTAAAGATTTTGAAGCTTGGTTTGCACACGTCGGAATCTACTGTCAATCCGCTGTCAGCATGAGTATTTAGCGCAAAGGCCAAATTAAAATTGTGGCAGGTCCTACCATACCTGTTCAGTTGAAAATTACAGTAGGTGGGCTAACTCATGAAATGTGAACTGAAATTACAAAATGCGTTTTCGTTTAAAAAAGATTAATTAAGTAGGGTTCTAAAACATATCATCATGCCGAATTTTTATCGCACATCTTTTCTACTGCATGCAAAAACCATTCTCTGTAAAAAATGACTACTTGATAGAGAGAGAGAGAGGAATTCGCTTAATTTTGAAATCATAAGTTTAAAATTTTTAGCAAAACATTGGCCCCACTCACTATGGGCAGTAGATAAGTTAACAGATTATTCAAGAGTCAAAGTTTAACTTAAAGAAGCGATTATTATGAGGATAGTTCAAGTCTTAGCTTCTGTATTTCTATCTCTTCGCCCGTAAGATAGCAGGCTAGGAATGGCAATACAGAAGCTCGATAAGCCGATGTGCGACAGGATATAAGTCGGAAGCTGTGGCGCATCGGGCGGGAAGACTTCGCAGACGTAAGATCAGAATGTAAGGGATGGACAAAATCATATAGAATTCGACCAGCAAATTGCTTGACCGCATTGAAGTGTCGTTGTAGGTTAGTGTCGACTAAAAAAGATAAGAAACACCAGCAGCAGAAGGGAGCATGCGGAGCACTCGTTTTAAAATTAGAAGATCCTTTTGAAGCAAAGCAGGAAAAATGACAGTAGAGCAGTATAGGATAAGGGGATGCACTTTTCTCAATGATTTCCGATTCCCTTAAAAATCAACTTATATTTCTTGGAGAACATGCACAAAAATATTCATTCCTTTGCGTATTTGGTAGATAAATACGTCTTTATTCAATTTTTTACTTGAAGAAAGGGTATAATTTGGTTACAAAAAGTTTCTAATTGTGAGCTTTTTTAATATCGTGGAATGGCCATTCATACAACGTCATGTCTCCGCATTTACTATTGTTAGTTTCAAAGTTAACAATATGGGTCAAATCCACTGCTAAATTCTATGAACCCCATATGATCCTGAATGCAAGTGTAACGGCAGGTCGACTTCACAATGGTTCGGGAGTTGGAAAACCGAACAACACCATTTCTTCGAGTGTAAACTTGAAAGAAGGTGTACTCTCCTACTGAATGAGTAGAAGAATGAATATTATTATGCATATTTCCGTGAAATATAATTGAATACTTAAGGACATCGAAAATCAATGAGAACAATGCATACTACTTAAGTAGTCGTTTTTTACAGAGTGTACTTCCTTTAGGCAGCCAAAATGAGGTTTCTTTGAAAGCCGGCATCCAGGGGTAACTGAATATTTATAGAATTTGGCTGTAAAATCATTGGTTTCACAACCCTACTTAATTAGTCTTTTCAAAACAAAAACGCATTTCGGAATTTCAGTTGACATTTCATGGGTTAACCCACCTACTGTGTTCAACCCAGACAAAGCGTTAGTAACGAACACGTGGGGGGGGGGGGGTAATTGCGGTTGTTGGTGGACTGCGGGTCGGTGGGCCAAGACTGAAGTAGGGTGCGGTAGAAATCGACTCGAGCGATAGTTTCGAAAGCTAAACCCCCTTAATTAAACGTCCCACCAAAAGGACGCAAAATGAGCCAAGCCTTAGGCCTACCTATGAGTATTGTAATTGTAATTGTATATTCCCGATCGAAAACCGACAGGGCAACGAGCTCGTGGCCCGGTGGGTAGAGGCGTTGACTTCTAAACCAACAGGTCGCGAGTTCGAGGCTCGGGTGTTCTACACTTCGGGCTTGGGTATGGCTGGCTGACGACGGCTAATAAGCCAGAAATGGCCATTCCAGTCTCCCTTGTCTTTGTCGGTAATATCATTCTGCCTATATATCATGCGCCGCTGTGCAGCTGCTGGTTGGGCTCGAGAGAGAGCCCTTAAGGCACAACGGAACGAGTGAGTTCCGTATGAACGATCAGTGAGCGCCCCCTACCATTTCAGGGAATGTTTTCTTTTAAACCGGAATTTTAAGCCAGTGACTTTTTCAATCCTACATTAAGCCCAGTCTCAATTTTTCGAAATTCGCAGAAGTCATTCTGAATTCCTAACTCTTTCCTTTCCCCAGGCGCACCTACTTGGTCCACTGTTGGGGAGTGTGCCAGCGGCCCTTCTCTTCCACTTCCTGTTTTGTGCGGACGCCGGCTTCAGAAGGGTCAAGGCCTGTCTTTGTGTCGGGAATTACGACTACTCCGCCGATCTCTCACGATAAAAATCGAAAAAAATCTCACTGACCGCCGATCCTGAGCACGTCAAAACTGTCATGCGTTCACCGTGTCCTAAGTAATCATAAAAAAAACTTATTTAATGACGTTAGCAAACTCACCTGCATGAAGATCTGTCCAGCATATGTCATGAAACAAACATAAAGTTGCGGTTGAATATACTTTTGAAGTTTTGAGTGCTTGGGCTTAGCAGTAATTGATTTTGAAGGTCTAGGATCGCAGTCTGTATGCTGCTGCACTCCATTGTTTGAACAGATATCTGGGGGAAACGAATGTGTTCAGTTTAAATGCTATGCTGTGCACGATGTAAGCAACAATATGTGACAAATCAATAAACGGTAAGGCTGGGGTTGGTATACCCCTCGGGTGGTTTTTCAAGATAGGTGTGGTATGGCCGCAAGGCACAACGGGACGAGTGAGTTCCGTAGCGCGATCGCTGAGCGCCCATCTACCAGGGTATATATCCGATCACATGCGACAGTGCAGCGAGTTCTTGGCTCAGTAGCTAGTGATTTGAACTTCTGGCCGACAGGTTGCGGGCTCGAGTCCCAGGGTTTGCCCACCTCGAAATCAAGTACGGCTGACTGAAGACCGCTAATAAGCTACAGATGGCCAACCCATTCTTCCCTGTCTTTGTCGATAACGCCATTCTGTGGATCATAAGTGTCTGTATGGCAAAGTCAGACAAATCAGTCAGGTGATGCGCGAATTTTGATCTTCCCTAGTGTTACTGACTTCAAAGCTGCCCTGATCGGATTGAGGGTTAGAGTTAGGCATGCTGTAAGATTTGGGGTTAGTATTAGGCGTTGGGTTATTCCTAGTGTCGAGGTTGTCAGGCTTGGGTTGCAGTCTGGATTTGCGGCTGCGGCTGGGGTTGGGGTTTAGAATTAGGGTCAAGAGTTTGAGGTGGGATTTTGGATATTTTGTTGGAGATTAAAGGGCTAGGGTTGGGGTTGGGTCGTAGTACTGTGATAAGGCGTGTTTAATGGGGTTGTGAATGTTGAGCTTTTCGCGTGGAGAACGAGCGAAAATTGGAGGTGTTTGACCATCATTGCTTGAGGACCATCCTTAGAGTGGAGTTCACCGACTTCTTCTCAAATGAGACAGTCCGCGCTAGCTGCGACGAAATCGCAAGGATAACCCAGGCCATCCAAGAAAGTCGACTAAAGTGGTTCGGCCATGTTCTTCGTCGTCCACCTCAGGAGCTACGTGTTACTGCCCTCGATCCGGCACCGTTGCCATATTGGAGACGTCGAAGAGGAGGTCAGTTCAAAACCTGGCTGGATACAGTTCATCAAGACATGGAGGTGGTTCTTGGACCTTCGATATTCGGTCTCCGTCGTTGGCGAAGGGAATGGGTTGAGCTGTCCAGATGTAACTAACTGATGCGGGCTTAACAGCCAGAAATAGCCATTCCAGTCTCCCCTGTCTTTGTCGATAAGGCTATTCTGTTGCTCATAACATATTTTCTGACGAAAGGTAGGCAAAGGAGTGATCTGGTACGCGGATTTTGATATCCGACAGTAGCATTGACGTCAAAGCTGCCCGGATCGGGTTGAAGGCTAGGTATAGGGATACGATTGAATATAGGGTTATTATCAGGAGTTGGATTAGGCTGGATTTGCGGTTGAGGCTGAGGTTGGGGTTTAGAATTAGAGCTAGGAGTTTGTGCCAGGGCTTTAGAATTTATGTTAGGGATTCAAGTAGTAGGGTTGAGGTTGCGGTCGCGTTCGGGTTTTCCCTAAATGCTTACGGGTCAATGGTTAGGGTTACCTATTACTGTTATTGTCATGGTTGGCGTTAAGGCCATAATTAACTACGGTTTTCCCTGGGGTTACATATCATACCCTTGTTTCACTTAAACGTCATTGCCTATGAATATTGGAAGCACTACTCAAGTGCGTACACCAGACCCCAGATGCCAGTCGGCACCCTAATTTAGAACCGACAATTGTGTTGTAGTTCTGACATGTGCTTGAGATCTTTAGCAGATATTGGGCTAACTTCATCAGAGCCATCTGTAGCCGACAGCCATCACGACCGGTCTGGAGTCATTGTTGAAGACCTCGCCGCCTCAAGGTCATTCACCCCTTTGCAGTGGGCCGCCCCAGACGCGCTGACCTGAAGTCACACAACTGACAGCTCGGGCACACCTGCGTCCGCACAGCCGCAGCTGCCCATGCGGCCACTTGAACGCACCTCCTCCCTGCAACCACAGCCTAAGCCACTGAGAGACCACCCCCCGGCAAATGTAACATACGCACTGATTGGATACCACTTGAGCTTGGCCCACGATTCTACAAAAGCGGCTTACACAACTACCTCATGGACTCTCAGGCATGACTCGACACGGTCAACATCAGCCCTGGCCTCGCCAGTGGTCACCGCCGCTGAAGAGGACAACTCCGGGTTCTGTGCCCAATAACACCTTCATTCTGGTGCCTTCCGTCTTCTCCCTTCAACTTGGGATCTGACCTGACGATTGTAGCTTACAGACTGCACACATTCTCACGGCTGTGTCGCTACACATCCACTGCCAAGAGTCTAGAATATTACGCAAATGCTTTTGGTGACGAATGTAACATCCTGCAAAGTTTGCCTGGTTTGCGTGACGTCTTGGCTTCCTTGTACCATTTGGGACGGTTATATCTGAATTCGCCTACGAGCGTTTACTGTTGCCTCATTCTGTCCTGTACTGGGCAGGCAGTCAGCATTTGCCTGTCACTCCCCTTCGAAGCATAACCGCTCCAAGTTAGACAGGAGATAGCGGCCCTGAACTTTACGTTTTCGGTCACTAAGCACATCTGGGGAGTCGACGATTGTTCACCTACTTCATAGCCAACACTCACTCGTTTTTGCATGCGTGGATAGGGCGATTAAGATTACTGCATATCAGCCGTTATGAGCTGCTCCCCTGTTTCACATCCGTGGCTAGTACATCAGCTTGGAGAAGACGGCAGGAAGACGATTGAGGTAATGGGTATGGAAGTGTTTTCTGGACACTGCCGGAATCTGAAGTTGGCACTTGACCATGAACTAAACTTCTCATTTTGTTAGTCTTCTATAGGAGATTATAGACATGATAAGATATTTAAACGTTGAATGTTCGCGTAGTCGTATGCAGAGGTGGAATACCGCCAAAGACAAGGGAGACTGGGATGGCCATTTCTGGCCTATTAGCCGTCGCCAGAGAGACCGAATCAGACGGCGCGTCCGGCAGGACGTGGAACTGGGTTGCCCCTCCCCCTCCCTTACATCAGATGCTCTTGTACTGAATCCCAGGGATGAATATCCTTGTCTTGTACTTTCAATCTCAATCCTAACCCCACCTCTAACCCTAAACCTCATAGTAAATCTACCTAACCCCAACTACTCAGTCCTAGGCCCTGAATTAGGCGCAGGGCCACCTGGGGCAGGGATGATTATGCTTATACCTACGCCCTGCCCAGCGTTCTTTGGCCGTCTTGACTTAGTCAGTCCGATGCTCTACCAATTAACCATGAACCCGTTGCCCTGTCGGTGGTGATTGGAACCACTCATTGGGTAGAGCTATAGCACCAGAGCCTGAATGATCACTAGTCGTTATGCAAATGCCTTCCTGGGCCCTAGGATGAGCCTAAATAAACAGCAGATCGAGCCTGAAGGACGATCATTGATCCCGCTTTATGCTTGGGGACTTCATATCGAGTCCAGCTAGCAGCGCATAGCGGGATAACGCACCCGACAAAGTCCAAGGAGACTAAAATGACCTCATGAGCTGTCCTCCTATTAAATATCCGCGTGTGATATCCGTGGTTACTACATCAGCTTGCAAATAGGACAGGAAGAGTATCAATATAACGGATACGGATGCCTCTTCTGGACGTTGCCGGAAGGCCAGATTGGCATTTGACCATGAACTTAACTTACCATCTTCTTTGTCTTCGACATGATGAGATATTTGAACGATGAATTTTCGCGTGGTTATGTGTAGAATTTGAATATTGGCAAAGGCAAGGGAGACTGGGATGGCCATTTCTGGACTATTAGCAGTCGTCAGACAGCCCGAATCAGACCCAGGACTGGCATATGTGAGCCTCGAGTTCGCGTTCGGTAGGACATAGGAAAACGTAGACCCCCCCCCCCTCCCTACACCAGATGGTGTTTCACTGAATCCCAGGGACACATATTCTTGTGTCGTAAGTTCATCCTCAATCCTAACCCAGACTCCAACCCTAAACCTTATAGTAAACCCTCCCAACCCTAACTCCCTAGCCCCAAGGCTCCTCAATTTAACTCAGGACCACCTGGCCCTGCCCACAATTCTTTGGTCATCGTGAGTTAGTCCTTTCGGTGTTCTACCAACTAAACATCTGTCCGTCGCCCTGTTAGATTAGCAAAGTTGAGAGATCCGAGTTAATTATTTGAAGAAGAAGAAGAAGAGGAGGAGGAGGAGGAGGAGGAGGAGGAGGAGGAGGAGGAGGAGGAAGATGAAGAAGAAGAAGAAGAAGAAGAAAAAAAAGAAAAAGAAGAAGAAGAGCTAACCGGAACAGGTTTATTTAGATGTTGACGTTTCGAAGAGCTTGGTCGGCTCTCCATTGTCAAAGCGTAAAATGCACTTAATTGACCAGAAATCCCAAGTGGCGTGTCACGTTGGTCGACCTCGTGCGGATCGATTTTTTTCTTCTCTCGCTGCCACGGCCTCTCGGGGGATGGTTGACGGGCGTTTTGTCTGCGTGCTTTTTGAGTCCCCACTCCGTCGGGGACGGGCGTGCTTGGACCAGTGTCGGGTGGGCGATCTGGCGGTTCTTGCTCTTCTTCACCGAGTAAACTCACCATCAGGCTATCTCCGTATAGCCTTTTTAAGTTTGGTGTGGTTGTTTAGTCCTGAGCTCTACGACTGTGATGACGTAGGACTTTGTAAGCTGCAGGGAGCTCCAGATGCCTCAGGACCAAACAACCACACCAGACTTAAGACGGCCATACGCAGGCAGCGCGACAGCGAGAT